CCTGAGGCTAGAAGACGCATTGCAATTGCGAACACCAGTTTCAATCAACATCGAAAGTTGGTCTTTCAGAATCAATTCTGGGACCTGCAGAAACGGGCAGAGTTGTTCAACAGCTTGGTCATCAGCAAATTGTGCTATGCAGCGGAGACCTGGGTTTTAGATGATTGGGAGACCCGTGAATACACAGACTCTGCCATCATGCGCCTTTACAAACGGCTCTTGAAAGTTGCAGATGGTACCGTACCCATATCTCAGATGATGAAGTTTTGTGTGAGCTGCGTCTCCCATCCCCCACACTCTGATGCAGATCGGCACCGCAGCATGTTGGGGGCTGCTCAACCAAGACTCAACATGGCCCAAACTGCTTCAAGACGATCTTGCATGGATGTGGCACCGGCTGTCCAACTCCAGTGAACTAGGTGGTCCTGCCCTTCACGTTGCGAGATGGTTGGAAGTGATGCAGCACCACCGCCCCTATTGGAGAAGATTCGTGCGTAGAGCAGGACAGCATGCCATGAATCAGAGGCTCAAGACCTTCAAATGCCAACAGTTTTATCTTGGCATGCGCTCCATCCTACAGCAGAACGACATGTGGCCACACCAACATGCACCGCCCAAGCCGGATCATGCCAGAGACTCCCACTTGCCCTTTGGTTGCATGTCCTGTCAGAGGTCTTTCCGCTCCCCAGGAAGCGAGGGTGCCCACATGTTCCGCACTCATGGTGAAGTTCAGCCAGTTCGATTCTTGTTCGAATCGACGCGTGCGCCGCATGTCTGCAGGAGTACTACACTCACGGCAAGATGAAACTTCATCTACTGAGATCTCAGGGTTGCCGTGCTAATCTGATTGCCCATGGTGGACGTCATGCTCCAGTCCCAGGACATGGCTCCGATGAAGATCGGCGACGCCACTTACAGCATGATGGGCGACTGCCGCCGCTGCAAGCTGCTGGCCCAGTTCTGCCGCCACCAAGAGCTAGAGATATGTCCCTCATCCACTGAGAGATGCATGACCGCATTGCAGAGGTCGCCCTGCAGCTGGATACCGCAGATGACTTTTTGGAAGCAGCCAGATCAGTCATCCACTCCACGGAGATTTCATGGACCAGATGCAGATTGACTTTACAGGAATTCCTTACAACACTTGAGACGGAGACTGAACCCTTCAGGGTTGTGCCCCTCCAACATGCTCAGCAATGCCTTCATCAGCTATGTCAGAGTGAGGCCTGGCCATTCTTACAGAAGGATTCCAGTGACCCTGCAGTGCGTGACACCTCTCTGGACATTTTGGAGGATCAATTCAGCTTTTTGGAGAGCCTGGACAGGATGCAGCCACCACGCATGATTGGCAAACATCGGGTGTTGTTACATGCTTTTAGTGGACGCAGACGGCCAGGAGACGTTCAGTTTTTTCTGGAGCATTTTCAGCAGCATTCCAATGATGGCACGGTTCTTCACGTTGTATCATTAGATTTGATGACTGATGCCGTTTGGGGAGATGCCACCAAGCCATCTACACAACGCTTTTGGCGTGACGCTGCTGATAGAAGGATGGTCCATGCCTTCCTGGCAGGACCCCCGTGTGAAACGTGGTCACAGGCACGATTCGCTCAACACCTTGCGAACAAAGGGCCCAGGCCAATACGCGGAGCAGACATGTTATGGGGACTGGAAGCGCTCAGCCTGCGCGAATTGGACCAGATTCTGATTGGCAATGGCCTTCTACATTTCTCCTTCGACATGTTGCTCCGCCTATACTTTTCTCAGGGATGTGGCATCATTGAGCATCCAGACCTCCCCGAGGAAGAGTACAAACCCTCGATCTGGAGGTTACCGATCATGGCTCTATTCAGAGCGCTGGAAGGCTTCATGGACTTCTTTCATTGAATTTGCCTTCCCTGCGTCAGTCCCTTCGTGAACACCATCTCATCAAGGACCCGCCGAAGAGATCATCTATCGGCAAGCTGGCGGACGGCAGCTGGTCCACAGGATACTTGAAAGAGTATCCGCCCGCCATGTGCCGAGCACTGGCGGCGGAACCCAAGTCGTGGTTCCAAAACCAGAAGTTCGACAGGAGCCTGGGGCTGGACCACGCATTTTTAGAAAGATGCCGAGCGATGAACGCAAGGCAGTTCACGTCGCAAATCGGCAGAGACTTCGCTGCGAAGTATAAGCAAAGCAGAGAATTCAAACAGGCCGCGTCTTCGGACCCTACGAGCTTGAGGGGGGGAAAAAAATATATATATATATATATATGTTTCTCTTTATAGCTATATGTGGTATACAAATTATATATGTCGCTGCAAAACCCCACGCTCCAAATCGAAGATCGATCCGTCGCTGAGGTGAACTTTCTGAGACCCTTCCTGGAAGGTGCCATCAATGGTACGCCCTTGACGGCACGCTGGGCACCTCAAAACCCAGTTACTGTTGGAATCTGATGTAATCTAGGGGGAACACTGTTTTTTTTTGTTTTTTGTTCAGTAGGATTTCGTCGTTTTGGTTTTGGTGTTCAAGGTGTCTTCCTTTGATTTTGAATCCGGATTTTCATGGAGAACTTACTGTTGATGTCTTTGCTCATAAGGGGGATAATTGATGATAATTTGTTGTTCACATGCTGGCTCCGCTCGATGCATCCCTATGTGCATTTTCTACTTCCTTTGAACCTGCTTAGTTGGCATGACCAATTTTCTTTGGGTTGGAATGATCCAGAAAATTGGGATTGAATCTTTGAAAGAGATTGATTTACTCCGAACAAGATTGCCAGTATCATTTGTGGGTCCTGGGAGGATAGCTCCATGCGATAAGGTGACTTGACCAAGGGCAAGGGAGCGCAGGGAGCCTAGGGATCGAGGGCCGGACGTTTGCATCACTGTCCTGTTTTGGATTTTTTGCCTAGATGTTCCCTTCATGTGTGCCATTGAGGATTATTGAGGCTATTCAAAATACACGCAAAACATGTGCGTACTTTTATTTGCGCAGAGAGAGAGAGAGATAGATAGTTAGATAGATAGATAGATAGATAGATAGATATATATATATATATACATACACACATACAAACAAAGGCACATCTGCACGCACATACGCACATAGATATGTGCATGAAGGCATTTTTAGAAGCACGGGCAAATAAAATGGAAACATTTTTGCAATCTTGCAGGGCCTTGTGAGCTGAGGCCGGACTTCGTCATGGAGGAAATGTTGGAAGCCACCGTGGAGGGCGAGAAGAAGTGGGGAACTCTCAGTTGGAGTGTGTTGTTTGTGTCTTTTTTTTTTTGCGGGGTTGGACCGACTGGGGAGAACGAGAGATGTCATGGAAACAGAGCGCGGCTGTAGCTCCAGAAGTCAGTGGCACAGACATGGTCCCGACCGAGGTTGGCGAGCTTTGATTCTCAGTTTGAGGCGTGGTAATTTCTCGGTGGGTGCTTGGGCAGCAGTTTTGCAGGATGATTATAGGTGCTGGTGGTGCTGGTGGCGGTGGTGTTGTTGTCGTTGTTGCTGCTGTTGTTTGGGGTTGGTGCTTGGGGTCGGATTTTAAATGGCATCTTCAAGTGAACATAGGAACATCTACGGCGATATTCGATGCATTCGTGCGACGCATGTATATCACCACCTGGCTTTCTTGGACAATGTTGGCCTGAGACCTGTGTGGTGAAGGGAACCGTTCCCAATGGTGTTGGTTGATTGCAATGCAAGCAGCAGTTTGACTGCAGCATGGGTGAAATTTATAAAATTATAAACGATTTTGCCACCAATAACGGTTCAATGACGGGTTTTGATGGTGTTCTTGTACTAGTAAACGAATGTATTTTTCGAGGACCCAAGTTTGATCCATACCTATTCATGTATGGCAATCCTTCTGTAGATGGTAGGCTACTCTTCGCCTACTTGCACAGAAGGCCGACCGACCGCTGGATCAGGTGCATTTTACAACAGAAACCGTGGGATTTCCAGTCAGACCAAATTACACAACCTGAGTTTTGTGGATTTTTCCTGGTTTCCATATGGTTTCTCATATCATATTCATATCCCATCAAATTATATTATCATCTAACATCCTGTCAAATCAAATCCAATGTTGCCATATCCTGTGGTATTGTGCTGAATATCCCATCATATATCGTATCCTCTCATTTGCCAATATATATTTTTTTTGCACCATCATCATATGATAATATCTCCAAAAATACAATATGTCATCTCGCATCACATCACAACACAGCGATAAAAACATCTTGCAGTACACAGGTATATGTAGGGCATGCACATACACACACATAAATATACGTACGCACACATACATGTATCTACACATACATACAGTATATTAAATATGCATACACGCACACACACACACATATATATATATAACAAAAAATCAAAAACAAACACATACATATACAGTACACACACAAATGCATATATATATATATGTATATATATATAGATCCATACATGCACATATATGTATACCTATACGACATATGCACACACACACACCCAAAGCTTCACCGAAGGTCATCGACCGCTTCGGCAGCACGGCGGCGGCCTTTCGCCATGTGGCGCGATAACCCAGGGGCCTCAGGGGGGCCCGGAAGCCGGGCCCTGTGGTGAATACCGGTGAACACGGGCAACATCCCGGCAAACATACCAAAAACTATGGAAAACCACAATTTTTGATAGGTAAATCGACTATTTCTATGGCCGTTTTCCATATCGATGTGAATGTTGGTGAGTTTCACTGTTGGTTAGTATCAGTTAGTATTGGTTAATATATAGTAGAAACATCTTTGTAGCAAACCCAGTGAAATAGACCTCCAGTTGATGGTCCAAATGTGTGATTTTATCCCCTACATCCAGCATGGTTGATATTGTGGGTGTATTTCTTGTGAAGGGGAATTAAGGGATTACTAGAAAAAACGATTCGAAATTTCGAGGTATCAAGTATTACCTACTTGTACTTGTTTTAAAACAGTTCTCCAAGAAAACTGGATGAGACGTGGGTGCGGATTCTACTATTGGTTGAAACATTCTTTTTCCCAACATTCTTCAGGGCCATGGAGGGTTCACCCAGCGGCAGATACCGGGTAATCAAACGTGGTTTTTCCCAATATTTTGTTTTTTTTGTTTTGTTTTTTTCCCATTCGCATATCTTTTTTCGGATTTTGCCATGTTTTCTCGGCGACCAAAGCCATGCCCGGCTGATTTTCCCATGCCATCGTCCAAGTTGTGACGAGGATTTGGATCGCAATGGCATTATGACGAGGAACGAGACGCGCTTCCTCTTCCGCTTAGTGAACTTCTCCGAGGCCGAAATGATGGCAGGGTCGGTTTTTAGGGCGATGTTGGAAAACGGGGTTGCCATGGGTTTTTTGGTTGCCTGAATTTTTAGGCACTCCAAAATCCACTGATTTTGGGATATACCATGATGTGTTATGATATACTCCATCTCTGTTCAGTTCCTGTCCGGGGATATTTCATCTCCGTACTGTGCCACCCTAAGGAGTTCCCCCAAAGCTTATCAAACGGTTTGTTTGAAAATAGGGCACCAATAATTCCAATGGATTATACACTCGCTATTTGGGGGGTATACCTGATTTTGGTGCGGGGTGGTCTGAAAATTTGGAACCCTCTCCCGCGGTTTAGAACATCACTTCCCGCTGCAGGAAAAGCATCAATTGTGGTTGAGTCCCTCATTGAGAAAAAATCATCACCTTGTTGGCCCTACAATTCATCAGATTCCCATAAAAGTCACAAAGTTACCATTTACAGGTGATTTTCCCATTAAATTTCCATTTAGTTCAGGGATTTCCCAGCGAAAGCCTCGTTGTCCATTTCATCCGTATCAGCCACCACAGGAGCTGGCAGATCAGTTCCATGATTCTGTGGACACGAACGGCTCGGGAGAGATCTCCCTGCAGGAATTCTACACCAGCTTGGCGCCCTACGTGGAGATTCAGGTGGAGATGGGTTTTACCCACATTATACCATATATATCCATATATACCATGTGTGGATGGGATGCATTATTTGGGTTTACCAGAGTTTAGTTTCTAGAAAAGGGCTAGGGGTTGCCATTGAAGTTTCGTTCACTGGCTGCGCTGCAACTGTGATATGTGGGGCAGACTCAACAGCAGGCTTTTCCTGGTACCGCACTGGGGCCAGGAGCGTCCTGTACCCAAACGTCAGGACAGATGCCGCAGAACAATCTGCAGTCGGAAGTGGCTTCCAATCAACTCAGGATGTGGATATGTTTGACCATCTCGCCATGCTAAAAAACACTTTGCACAGGGAGAAGTGTGGCGGTTGTACTACATTTTTGGCCATGAGGCTTTGAAATGTCATTGGGCTGTTGGTGGTTGGACCCAAGAGGATTTGAAGGAGTTGGTCCAGGAGTGGTACAATTGGGTTTATTCAGGGTCTTGAGATTCCTTCTTTTAACCACACAAAACACTAAAAAAACGATATGTGTAGATTTGTGGAGGACATATTTGATGGAGGTCAGTATGTTTTTCACGAGTACCACGGATCTTGACTTCATTCACCAGCGGGTTTGTCAATTGGGCAGCTCAATTTCCATTCGTTTATCATAATTTTCCCATTCACCAGCGGCCATCACTTGGGAGTATTCATGGCTTATATATATATATATATGTATATACACATTTTTTTCTCCTGTATTTTCTTGATAAGATTACGAACTCATGTGGGTAAAACAATGTCATAAACCATTCCCAAATCAGAATTTTTATAGGTGGTATAAATGAAACCATTCCCCAATTGGTGTTATATGACATTGTTTTACCCACATTATACCTATTTCACGGGTGACAGAGCCCATATTTTGCAGCTGGGGCTAGGACTTCATCCTGAAACCTGACACGCCTGAGTCGCTCGGACGTGGAACAACTCTTGGAGTCCGAAAAGCACTCGGAAGGGGCATCAACTGATAGGACTTGTGAGGGGAAACCCCAAAATGATCCTCCATGAACTGAGTATAGCTGAGTTACTAAGGTTGGTGAATCAAAGTGATTCAACTGGATGATCCAATTTCGGTGTTTCGATGCTCGGCCCAGGACCCCTGAGCCACTGACTTCGAGGGTAACTGGTCTGCAGAAAACTCACCAGGCGATGACCAAAATAGAGGATGCTAAAGCTATCAGCACATCTGTTCAGATGTGGGGACAACATGGGACAACAGACTTCAAACATGTCGTGATCATGGCACAACATGTGAGGACAACGTCCGATTGTTTGTACATGCCACTGGAGGAAAAAAACACCAGATCAGGCTCACAAGGAGTGTTGCAGTTATCACTGGTTTCGCTGCATGAAGATGCACTGAGAAGGGATAGGCACATGGGCCATATGGCTATGGAGCAAGACTTAAGACGCTGAGACTGACAATGATTTTGCATGGTGCTTATCAAAATCATCCATTGTTGGGGTGCTGATTTTTGATCCATGCCCGTATAGTCATATTGGTACTTCTTGCATTTGGATATTGTGAACAAAAGATTTTGGGATACAGTTGTGGGGCCGCCATGGAGTATGGGAAGGTTGTGAGGTGGGCCGTTCTGCTGGGATTTCTTGGTGCAGCAGTGCCAGTGCTGGAATACTCCTTTGCGCCGTCACCCCGGGCCAGTGAGGTAGTGGTGGCACAGGTGAGCGGTGCCAATGCCACTCACACGATTCTGGAAACCTCTCCTAGCTTTTTGCCTCCCAGCGTTGGGGAGGCCGCACCGAGTTTTCTGGAGTCTGAACAGAAGCGGCTACTGCAAGGAGGATTGAATTTGCCATCGAAAGTGTCGCAGGAGTGCTTGAAGTTTATCCATATTCCAAAGAATGCGGGCGGCACGGTTTACGAGGAGGCTGAAAAATATAAATATGGCTGGAGCGTTGACGACCATACGTTGGCATGTATCCGCGGGGAGAAGTGTACGAACTATGGATTCACCAGGCCATGCTGCCGGCCAAAGCAGTCGAAAGATAGATGCAGCATTTGGCACATGCCCCCTGCTGAAGATTCGGTGCTTGCAGAGCGCTATGCCCGTTGCAAAACGTTTTGCATCATTCGAAATCCCCTGGAGCGTTTCATCAGTGAGTACAAGTGGCACATTCTGATGTCGACTCCGTTATCTCATAAGACATATGCTGAGGAATATTTAAAAGAACTCATTTGCTCCCCTGCTACTCTGGCAAACTATTTCGAAGAAGTGAAGCGGGGGGGGGTCGCTTGAATTTGCAGACGATTGCCATTTGCTACCGCAAGTGAAGTACGTGTTTTCGAATGACCTGCAGCGCCTTCATTGCAATCACGTACTCCGTTATGAGAATCTCACCAGCGAATTCAATGCTATCATGAAAGCTTACCGGCTTGCCATCTGCTTGGAAGATGGGAATGAGAGTCTACACACCCACTATATTGAAATACCCTCCAAGATTAAGCTGACTGAAGAGATGAAACGCTGGATCTATGAGACATACAGGCTGGACTTTGAACTTTTTGGCTACAGCATGGCCTAGAAAGACTTAGAAAGACTTCCTGCCACTGGCCTGGGTCAACCACTTGCAGATCAAATTATTTTGTTGTCTCACGGAGCGATCGTTGCCAAGCACGTCCTTTTTGCCATGTAATTTCCTCACCAGACCCCTCAAGGGAGCGGTCTGTTTTTGCACTGGCTTTGACCGATGGAAGACTTTTGTTTCCGGTCACCAACATGTTGCGCTTTCCGAGCGGAGAAATATGGAGAAACTGAGATTTTGGCTGTTTTATGAGGAGCGCAGGGTTGCTTGACTTGCCCAACTGAGTGGTCTAAGCTCATAAGACTCATCAGTGGGTTGCACAGGACTTCCGACCTCTGCCCCTCCAACCTCGTGGGCTTCATGACCCGAGCCGAGGCGGTCAGCAAGGAATGGACCAAGCACGTCCAACCTGCGCAGCGTGTGGAATTGAGGCGTCTAATGCAGGACCAGGGTGGTGGGGTTGTACTCGGGGACCCCGCGTAGGTGAGGTGATGTTGCAGGGAATCTAGTCACACCAGGTGCGAGAGGCCCAAATCCGCTATCCTCCAAGTCTTTGGTCACAAGATGTCACAAGCAAGATCAGAAATTTAGTTGACCGCAGTGACACTGTCTGTCCCTGTAAGCCTTCCTAGTAGCACATTGCTGTGGGATTTGTGGGCTAGCAACGAGGACATTGGAGACAAGCTACAGCTGAAGTTCAAACATGTGCGGGATGCCTTCAGGCCCTTGAATCTCCAAAGGCCTCAGGGGCGCAGGGGTCTCCAAAACAGGGCGAAGAAATCAGGGCAAGGCGCTTCTGGGTGGCTTTCGCTGGTGGTTTTGGTATGTTTTGGTTCATTTTGTTTTTGGTTCATTTTTTTGTTGGTCCCTCTCATTTTTGCACGGATTCCGGGTTTCTTGGCCCCACCGAAAGCCAACTTGGAGCCAGGTTAGGAAAGATCAATCGCGAAGAGATGCGCAGCTTCTTCCGCGGCTTTGGGCACCCCAAGGCCGACGTCTTGGACGATTTGGACGACCATGTCGTTCTGCAGTGACCTCACACCAGGGGATACAAAGTGACCTTGGGCTGGTATGGAGAGATTTGACAAGAATCACTGGAACTTTTCAGGATGGGCAAGAAGGGCCGTAGATTCTTGGTGTTACCATTGTAGTCGGCATTTTTTCTGTTGGCTTTGCCTGGTGGTTCCATTCTTGATACCTCCAGTTGACTGGCCATGTTGACGCTGAAACAGGATGTGGCAGATCGTGTCTTTGACCTTTTGCAGGCCACAACCCCAGCTGAAATCACCCCTGCTTCCCAGTTGAGAGATTTGTTTCAAGTGATTTGATTTATGTCGACGTTAGCATGTTTTTTCAATACAGATAATATATATATATATATATACATTAATATATATATATAGTTGTGTGTGTGTTGCGCTTTTTAAAATCCATTGAGTCATTATGAGTTTCCACCTGGAAAGGCTGCACCAAACCATTGTTTCCGAAGCGCCAGGACAAGGCTGGTGAGGTGGAGTACGCCGTGTTCATGTCTCACTTCGAATCAGTTCTGGGGCCGGTGACACCCAGCGACGGAAAGCCGCGCAGAGACTTTGGACGCCCCAGGATGGTTTTTCCTTGGAGTGAAAAATCTGAACTTCAGATTTGGGAAGTCAGAACTGGTGCCCCAACCTGGCTGGTCAAAAATGCTGTGACATTTTGATGGCATTTTCTACCAAATTCTCGGTGCGGACAGAAAATGATGGATCCCCAAAACCGTAGCTTTCCTTAGTAACATGCTCATCCATTGGATGGAGGGTACCCAAGACTTAGGAAACTTCCAACAAATCCCATGAAATCCCATTAAATCACCATAAAATCACAATTTTTGCGGGCCATCCCTATGAATTCTGCATGAAAAAATCAGGCTTTCGCCTCTGAGGCGGGACTTTCGGCAGCTAACACAGGCGCCCATCATTGCGTTGGAGGATCCTCTCGCCAGTCGAGAGGTGCGGTCAGAAAAGATGACCGGAACTGGGGAAGAAACTTGAGATGTTCATTAACATCAGTTGGTCATACCACACATTTTGGGTGTATATATTATATTATGTATATATATATATATCTCTCTCTCTCTCTCACCAATTATCTACGATATGGTTTGGGAATTTTGGACCAAAATTTGGACAACATGTTGGAAACATTGGGTTTTGACCTGACATTTGAAGGATTTTTGAGGCCGAACAACCTTTTTTTGGGGGCAGTGCTGGGCGTAGAGCTGCAAAAACATGGAGATGCTCTGTCATGTCACGCCGGACAAATGGGTCCGGGTCAACATCTAGCCGCTACTAGCCACCTCATAACAATGAAATTCCACAGTATTCATCTTCATGTGCCCCCAAGATGGTTGAACCATCCTGCCTCTGTTGAAAGGTGGATGGGACGATTGAGGCCTTCAAGCTGCAGCCTTGGACGTTCGCACTTGGGGCACTTGGGGCACTTGGGTCACAGCACGGAACTGGGTTTCACCAGATGGATGCTGAAAATCCGAATGAACCAAACAAATCTGTCCATCAAAATCTATCCATCCATCGATCTATCTATCTATCCATCTATCTACCTACCTATCTATCTATCTTATCTAATCTAATCTAATCTTATCTAATCTAATCTTATCTTATCTAACCTAATCTTATCTTATCTTATCGTATCCTAATCTATCTATCTATCTATCTATCTCTCTCTCTCTCTCTCGCTCTCTCTTTCTTTCTTTCTTTCTTTATTTCTTTCCTTCCTTCCTTCCTTCCTTCTCTCCAACCAAGTGTGTGCAAATTGCGGCCTTGTGTTTTCAATCTGAGTTGGCGTTTTCCCTTTGCTGAACCCACCCATCTCCAAGGGCCTTTTTGATGACAAAGTGCAGGAACCTGCAGGAGGTGCAGCGCAGGGCCCAAACCTGTGTCCTGTGGGTAGGTCTGTGGGGTCCGGTCCCAGATGCCGATTTCTTCGGGGTTCTCCGCTTCCAGCCCTTCTTTTGGGAGGCTTACCGCATCTTGGATTACGACAAGGACGGCAAGGTCAGCTGTCAGGAAATGCGAAACTTTGCCAAAAGGCCCGGGCCCCTGGCCTGGGGAAACAACTGATGGAGAGATTGTTTTTGGATGGGTCAAAGCAAGAAAATGAGGGGGTGAGCATCCTTTTGCCCGTGATTTTGATGTTGCATATGTTGGCACTTGGCTTGGGACTGATGTCCAAGATCTTTGTTCGAGTGGGATACTTGCGTACTATGCCTGAAAAGTGGGAGAAGCAAGCAAGCATGATCAGTAATACCGGTACCTTTCCCATTAAATCCGCATTTGTAGGGGATTTCCCATTGCCATAAATTAATGAAGGGAGGGTATACCCCACTACCACTGCGGAGGCTTGGCGTCTCGGCACGAGCATCAGATCAGCTGTTCTTCGCGCTGGATGTGGACAAGATCGGCTACTTGGTGTGGTGTTTCGCGTGTTTTTGGTGGGTGATTTTTGTCGTGGCCGAGCTAGGATACTCTGCAGAGAACATGATATTTGTTGGCTGCTATGATTGTTGTGAATGACCATTACGTCCAATACAATAAGAATCATGATGCTGGCTAGTGTGGCATTGTGATGATCATGGTTCCTACAGGATCTTACAGGTAAAGCGTGTCAGCTGCAGATGTCAGGTTGGATCAACTACCTGCAGTGGTGGCCCTGGATCCGAAATATCGTAGCAGCGCAGAGCAGTGCAGGTACCGTAACAGCCGAACTCCAACGGTCACGGGAAGCAAGCAGGATTTGATGAATAATGCTACAAAAAAATCCCAAACCTGGAACCCAAGAATTGTTTGGAAGATTTGGAAGACACTTTCTGGCATTGGAAAGGGTCCTTCGGGCTGCTGTGTTAGATTTTGTCATCACAGGCTGGAACAGCCTACACTATATGTGATAAGTGTGTGTAATGTTGGATAGCTCTCTCTCTCTCTCTCTCCCCCTCTCTCTCTCTGTTTGTCTTTATGTGTCTATGTCTTTATGTCTTTCTGTCTTGCTGTTTTTGTATTTTTCTGTCTTTATGTCTGGCTGTCTTGGTCTTTCTGTCTTTGTGTCTTTCTGTCTTTCTGCCTGTCGGTCTCTCTGTCTCTCTGTTCTCTCTACCCCTCTCTTTCTTTATATTTTGCAGTGTATGTAAGATATAGAAGGGCTACGCCCCCTGCCGCCGACCCCAGAGACCGTTATGGATACAAGTGGCATTGAAGGTCGTATCCGCGAAGATTTCAGCCCCAACTTCTTGGATTTGCCCCTCGGCCGAGATGTTGTTGACGTGTGTTGACACTGCGCCTTGGCGTCAGGGAACCAGTGGTTTCATAGATGCACGCAACAGGGTTGGTTTTGGGCATGGTTGTTCAAATGATTGGATGGCCAGGCTGTGATTTTACAAAGTGGGTGTCGGTTGCTTGTGGTTGTTGTGAAGCGCTTGTTGTGTTGGTTTTAAGAAGTTTGCAGTATCAAAGAACGCGGGTGTCATTCTGTTACGTTCAGGAAGTATGTTTAGATTTGAGATTGAGAAGATTTATGTGTATGAAACCACTCAGTTTGATCAAGGGGTGGCCTGGTTGGTTGCAATAAAGGTCGGATTTTTTGGTGATGGTGGAAGATCCTGGTGTGCCGGAGGTGTGGGAACCAACAGGGGATGGAAGGGTCTGCAGGATGTCACCAAGAAAAACTTTGCTGAGAGAAATGTACACCAGGAACAGATTGGATTCACGTAAGCGTATCTGGAAGGATTGTATTGCAAAAGTGGATGAATCGTTGCAGCTGCGTGGCCCAACCTTGGTTTGTAGATCTTTAGGTACTAGGTGGGAAGCCATCCAGATGCCGGAAGCTCTTGAGGTATCGGACTCACCGGACTATGTTGCTAGTGAGGCGCTAGGAGAAGATGGACCTATGGGAGCGCCCCGAGGAGAGTGCTGTTGGAGCTAGTCAGGCGCCAGCAGAAGATTGACCCTTGGAAGTTTCGCCAAAGAAGAGGGCAAGGAGGGCATCCGCCACCGGGTCTACGAAATCAGTCTCAAATGTGGCAACTGTTGCAGAACCAAAAGGGAGCAGCCAGCATTTCTGGGTACATCATGGAAATGTACCCGAAGAAGGAGCCTGTGGCGGGAAGGTTTTTGATGACAGCAATCCTTGGAGATGAGACGGCAACAGTGCAGGTTTCGATCTGGTCACCCTTGCTGCAGAAAATTGAGCCTGAGCTGCGTGCACGCTTTGAGGAGTCAGATCTGTAGCCCGGTGCGCGACTCGTCAACTTTGACATTGTAGCATTGGGCTTAGGCACAGAAAGCAAGCCGGTGGTGAAGCTGCAATCTGGGCGGCAATCGCAGGTGCATCTGTCAGATGGGGCTATGGTTGTGATGAAGCCGTCGCCGCTTGGAGTCATGGCCTCGTTCTCCGCCTTGGGTTCCCATGCCAATGGACAGGTGTGGAATCTTCGCGGCGTGGTGCAGGAAGTGGGGCCGATCGAGTATTCGAAGGTGCAGGAACCTATGAAAGCCTTCAAATTGGTGGATGCCGAGGGCTTTGTGTTGCCTATGAAGCAGCATGGAGCGGGTGTGTTTGAGGATGGCATCCAGGATCTCCATGAAGTCATCGTGTGGTCTGCGTTGGGGAAAGGCCTGAAAAGCGCCACTCGTGAGATGGACGAAGAAAACGGCAGTTTTTGGGCCTACGCCGAGAATTACATCTTGATTTTGAAGACCATCTCGCCCAAGGTGCCGATTCAAGAAGTTCGCACGATCTTCTGAGATGTTTTCAGGTGACATGTACCGTCCTGTAGCAGTTGATCAGGATCAGTTTGGTGGGCCAGCAGACCGAGGCGATTTCACATGAAGTCAGTATGTAAGTGGAAAACGGCCATGGCATATTTAGCAGACTTGGTATTGAGTGAAGTCGAAATGCTGGTGGTGCTGACAAATGTAGCTAGCCAGAGTTTCAAAAAAGGGCTGTGCAAACTTGTCAGTTGATCGTGATGGTGTGTTTGAATCAGCAGTTCGATGCAATGTAGGGGTCGATATCGGTGGCAAATGGTCATGATCCGATATCATATTGGTGAGCAAACAATCCACCATGAGGACAACTCTGGTGCAGAAAATTGCTTGGAACAGCTGAAGCCGTCAATTAATTAGTTGCGGACAAATGCAGCTGGCCAGAGTTCCGGAAAGGGGCCACGCAAACTCGTCCGTTGGTCGTGATGGTGCATTTGAAGCAGCAGTTCCAAGGAATTCGCAAGGAAAGGCGTTAACATTGGTGGAAAAGAGGTGGCGTAGAATTGAGGGAACAGAGGAATCCTAAAATTGGCAGACCATGATTTGATATGTCAGATTGATGAGGAGACAATCAGAGGAAAACTCTGGTGCAGAAAATTGCTTGGAACAGCTGAAGCCATCAAATAATTAGTTGCGGATACATGCAGCTGGCCACAGTCCCAGAAAGGGGCCAAACTTGTCCGTTGATCGTGATGGTGCACATGACCTGGCAGCTAAAAGCAATCTTAAGTAATATTGGCAGAAGACAAATATTCCAAGATCGGGGGGCTTGGGCGTTAGAGCTTTTTGTAGAGGAGGCCATCATGGAAAAACGTTGGGCTCAGCGCATTGCACTGGGCTGTGCTCGCGATGTCATGTAATTAAATTTTTGAAGTCTTTTGAAGTGGCGATCTGAGAGCGCTTGGACCTTGAACATGGAAGTAAGTTGCTCGGATGTCATGGCAAAAGGAGCGGGCTGCATGCAGTAAAAAGCCAAGAAGCATATATTTGTCGGCGTCGGTATTGGAATATTAGTGGTGCCAAGCAGGGGTTCGTGTTTTTGTTTTGCAGCTTGGTTGTCCCAGTCTTGTTGGGTTGGTGTTCTGTTGGTGGACGAACAAAGCGCCGGTTTTGTGGTTTTGGATTCTCTTTTGCAGGTATGGGCAGCCTCGGTCCCGTGCAATTTTTAAATGCACCAGGTTCGAAGGGTTCGAATTACAGCTGATGCAGACAAAAAGTAGTATAGATATTGCACAGCAGTTCGCTCTTCGTTAGCAGTGTTTTGGGCAACGTGTGAATGTGACAGTGTGTTTTCAGGTTGGTGCTCGGTTAACTTATTTTTGTTTTCAGTTTGTTGGGTACAGACATTGTTTTGCAGTATGAGCCAGGGATTTGTGCAACACAGCGGGCCTTTGTGGATAATCGTCGGAGCCAAGGGGTATCGGTTTGCCTCATTGCTTGGCATCGTTGTTGTGTTCATCATGGTGGTCTTTCGGAATTAGCAACGAGTTAGGTTCTAAAGTTGAAGGCAGATGTGTGGTTGAAGACAGAGTTTTGAGGTAGGAAATGGATCTTCGTCGTCAATATATGTTGTCGGGAGGCCCGGTTAATCAACTTCAGTTATGTGGACACGCGAAAGATTTCACATCTAGCAGCACTAAGAAAGATTGCGTAACAGCGTCAACAGGGAAGTGTACTGTTGATTTTTATTGGAAGATAGCAGAGAAATGGGTGTGTGGCAGCGTGGAAATTGGAATTCATTTGGGAACATAGCTGAACAAGTAGCAATTCAATGAGAGGTCCTTGTAGGGGATTTTGCAATTCAAACATGCAGTAGTGCCATATCACACACAATCTCATTTTGGCTGTTTTGGCTGGTGGAAGGTAAAAAACTCTTCCGTAACACCGTCAAAATTGGAGCTGATTTTGGATTTGCAAAGGTGAAGCATGCTGCAGGACACGACAAAAATGGGAAATGTGAAACGAAGGCTCGTACATTGTCAGTTGTCTGTAGTGCCAGAGGATTCAAGTGGTGTGTTAAGACAGTGGTTATTTATGGAGGTGTTGAAAGATGTTGTCGGGAGGCCAGGTTAAGCAAGGTCAGTTATGTGAACATTCCAACAATATTGCGTAAGGTGGCAATTGGAACGCGAACGATTGCACATCTAACAGGACTAAGAAAGTTTCTGTAACACCGTCAAAAGTGGAGTTTACTTCTGATTATCACTGAACACAAAAGACAGCAAAGAAATGGGTTTGTAGCACCGTCGAAATTGGAGTTCATGTGGGAATATAACTGAAGGAGTAGCAATTCAATGAGGTGTCCTTGTGCGGAATTTAGCAATTCAAACATGCGGTAGTGCCATATCACACACAATCTGAAGGTGGCCGTTTTGGGTGGTTGAAGGTAAAAAAACACTTTTCGTAACACCGTCAAAATTGGAGCTCGTTTTGGATTTGAGGAAGTGAAGCATGTTGCAGGACACGAAAACAATGGGAAATGTGAAACCAAGGCCTGTACATTGTCAGTTGTCTGTGGTGCCAGGGGCATTCGTAGATTGTAGCTTTTCAAGTGGATTCAAGTGGTGTGTTAAGAAATTGGTTACTTAACGGTGTGTTTCTGTAACACCGAAATTGGAGTTTATTATGGGTTACTATTGAACAAAGCGCAAAACATTTCCCAGGGATGGGAATCAAGGAACCTTTGGTGGTGAAGAAGGCGGCGGTGTGAAACGAAGGCCTTTGGATTGTCAGTTTCTGTGGTGCAGACACGTGCAAAGCACCACGGGCACAGGGGGAAGTGAGACGTTTTTATGTAGAATATTCAGAGTATACCAAGATTGACAAATATGATGCTATGGTTGCGAGCATTTGAGGCTGAAGCCCCCTTTGCGTGCCTTAGGCGTTGCTTACCGTCCTCACTGGAAGCCATGGCGACTATCGCCGTGAGTGTGCAGGCAGCGTTCGAGAGCAAGGCCCCGCACGTTTGGAGGTGAAACGCCATCTCGGGGGTTTGTTTTCGAATGTGATGAAGGTTGTTCCAATGCGTGGCGGCTACGTGGTTCATGCGCTTGGGCAGCACAGCAGGAGCCGAAGATTAAACAGTTGTAAGTTCTCAGAATGGATTCAGATTGTTGAAATGGGAAATGTGATGCGTTGCACAAGGGGAATGTGGGTTCATTGTCGGACATGTATCAGGTTGTGTTGATGGACGAGGCTGGTATGGAAGTGGCGACGACGATTGCAGAGGCCCTGCGTGTGATGGGCACGACATCGATAATGGATGCTGCGCAACATGCTCAAAGGAAGGCCAGGTATCGTTTTGACACAGTTGTGGTTTGGAGGGAAGTTGGGGCGGGTAGAGAGGTAAGTTTTGGATTGCGGGGATACTGTTGGAGCGTGTTTGCTGAGCGGTCAGTGTGGGTGTCCAAGGCCGCAGATGCTGCATTGAAAGAGCAGCGTGAGCTCCAGAAGCAAGGTGCCGTTTCCGGCAAGAGGGCGGCAGATGTGTTGTCAAGCCTCATTTCTTTGCGGGGCTCCACTGGAAGCCAGAAATCCAGCAACTTGGCAAGAGTGCTTGGTTGTCTCAAAAGTCGGGTCAGAGAGCCCCTCAACTGTAAACTTTCTTTGTTGGCCGAACGTCGCAAAAGGAAATGAGTTTAGGTTGGGAAAAATGGGCGATCTAAGGACGGCAGTTCGCAAGCATGGGTTTGGAATATGTAACTGATGCGCAGTCATGGTCGACGGATGGCTTGTGGAGGACAACATCCAACCACGGATCGGGTGAGGATGACGATGACGCCGACTAAGGTGCTATGTGGGGTGCGATCATGGATGTATGCCAATAGTTTTGGGTTGGCGGTTCCCATGTTGAAGCGCCGTTTCGACACTTGAGCGGGTGTTGGGATTGCCTTTGCAGTCCTAGGTTTGCCTAGGCACGGTTGATGCAGCTATACCCGAAAAACATTGAAAAGTGTTTGTAGGGAAAGTTCGGTTGCACAGCTGAAGCCATTTGAAAGAGTTGTTGACAAACGTAATTGACCAGTGGTAAGTTGCATTGCAGAGCCGAAGCTCGAAGTCCGTTGAGAGAATTGTTGACAAACATAGCTGGCCAGAAGACCAGAAAGGGGCCATGCAAACGTGTCAGTTGATCGTGATGGTGAGTTTGAATCAGCTGTTCGAAGCAATGTTGGCGTTACTATTGGTGATTGGTGATTGGTGGAAAATGGTTATATATGTCGACATTGATGGAAAAGAGGTAACAGCGGCAGGCCATGATTCGATATTATATTCGTGAGCAAACAATCAATGCATAAAGTTGCTTGGAACAGCTGAAGCCATCAATTAATTCGTTGCGGACCAATGCAGCCGGCCAGAGTTTCAGACAGCGGCCATGGTGATGGTGCAGTTGAACCAGCACTTCCGAGGAACTCTCACAAAATGGCGTTGACATTGGTGCTAAGTGGGTTGCCCAGGACGGGGGGAAAAGAGGTATCGAAAAATTTAGCAGACCACACTGGCTAACGTTGCTTTCTGAACTGCCTAGAAACTACCTCCAAACCTTGACTTTGCCCGCCCTTCTCCACTGCCAACTGCCAGCTTGCTCGTGTCCTCTTGCAGCTGGCTTTCGTCCTGCACAGCTGCGGCGAGAGGACCCTGTCGCAGCACCAAAACACCCTGCGGCTGCTGCAGCTGCTGCAGCGGCTGCGGCTGCGGCTGCGGCTGCGGCTGCGGCGGTGGTGGTGGCGGCGGCGGCTGCGGTGGCGCGGCTCGGCTGCGGCTGCGGCGGCTGCTTGCGCTGCGGCTGCGGCTGCGGCTGCTGCGGCTGCGGCTGCTGCTGCGGCGGCGGGGCTGCGGCTGCGGCTGCGGGGCTGCTGCGGCGGCTGCGGCTGCTGCTGCTGCGGCTGCTGCGGCGGCGGCGGCTGCTGCTGCTGCTGCAGCTGCATGCCTTGCCTTGCTTGCTTTCCCTTCCTTCCTTACCTCATTTCCTTGCTTGCTAAGCAAGACCAGTTCTGGTGGACATTGCATTTTCTTGCCCTGGAAATCTTTCCCTGTCACAACGCTGTTGCTTGTCTTCTGGTTGCTTATCTTTCCTGTTGCCTGTGTTTGTGCTTCTCGTTGTGCATTGGTCCTCTGACGTGCTCCCCCTGCAGTCGGCTGGGGTCGGCGGATATATGTATATACTGTATATACTGTGTATATATATATATGTATACTGTATATACGGTATATATAAATATATATATATTCGTGTATATATATACGCATACATAGTATTGATATGTATAAATGTAGATTTAAATGAACGGGCAAACTTGTATAATTCATGTATATCTTATGCATGCTATGCACATTTTTTTGGCCCTCGCTCTGCCTCGCTCCAGTGGCTCAGGTTCACACGAATGTTTCCTGAGACATGGGACCAGCCAGAACCAGGCAGCGGCCGCGGGGAATAGAAACAACGAGGGAGCGATGCAGCGATGCACGAAACGCCCCTCCAAAAACACACTGTGAGAGACTAAGCTGGCCAAATCTGGCCATATCCGGCCATGGGGCCAAGGAAATCCACTTTTTTTTTTTTGGGAAATCCCCCCATGAGTTCTCTAGGTTTTTCCGAAAAAACTGCCGCTGCTGTGAGGTCCTGCCAGGGCTTGGGCCACTCCCCGTGGTCCATGAGGGCGCCGGACTTTCCCTGCAGGGGGGAACCAAAGGTTCTGCCCTTTTTGCGGGGCTTGGGCACTAAAAAACTTTGAGAAACCATGGAAAATGATGCGCATGTACACGTGCATTTATGCAGATGTATGTGCACATCATCGTGCAAATCAAGTCATTCGCAACCAATGCACTACCGGAAGGACCAACTCATGAATCAAGAAGTCTATTGATTCGGTTTTCTATGAGACCACCTTCCAGGGCCTGGACACCTTTCCAACATTTTCCAACTTTTCTGAGTTCGCCAGACTTGGCCCGATAGCCTGGGCCTTTCGAAACACTCCAAGAATCTGTGAATAGCTTGCGCGCAACTGCGCCGCTGCACTAGGATTTGCTTCTCGGTGTGTCATGGCCACTGCGGCCTGAGGCGGCAGTGGCTGGTACACTGTTATGAGACCGAAGAAGTGAAGCAGCTTCTGATCGGCGACCTAAAGGGATGGTGGGAGGCGATGTTGTTTGGAATATTTGTTGCCTGGCAGGCTTACATGCCAGAATTGGTGTAGCGATGGGATAAGATTGACTGGAAAGCCAAATATTTGATGAATGAAGCCTGACAACGTGACTCAACCTAGTGATGGCCTTGTTGAGGCATTCAGAACGCATTCTCTTTGTGCATGTAATTGCACGCCACAAGAGTCCAAGACTGGAGCCGCATGGCTGTCTTGGTTGAGCTTGAGGCTGCAGGCCATTTCTGGAATTGAGCCCTTCGGCTCTAGTTCCCCCTTCGGGACTCTGCAACTGGTGCGCCAAGTTGTTTGGCGCAAGGCCGGCATGTTCAACTGGCCACATCGCGGCGTGGCGGCTGCGGCGACGGAAGCGGTCCATCGGGCACGGATTTTCTTGCATGGGGGGAGCCAGAAAGATCCAAGAAATCTTAGGGGGTTTATGATCTCAAACAAATGCTTCAACACCATACCCTTCATTGTTTGCCCTATCATTTGTTCTTCCTATGATTGTGCCGAGTATTATATAATTTGCCCATGCGCCCACCATTTTCCCCTTGATTTTGCTTTTTCGCCATCAGATTGCCCATTGTTTTCAGTAATTTACCATAATTTTCCCAGGTTTTGCCATATTTTCTTAGATTTTCCCTTGGTTTTCCCCATGCCGCCAGGCCTTAGTGGGCGGCGTCACAGCTGCCGTGGTCGCCCGCGCTTCGGCCTCGCGATCCTCGTGGGCGCGGATGCCACTGCGGGTGCAACAGGTGGCTGGTGAATTTCCATCGTTTTCTGTATGTTTGCCAGAGGGTAGGTCAGTCAGTCAATCAGTCAATCATCATTTTCAGTATACGTGTATAATATTATATAATCACCATTTTTATGGGTATGGTTACCATTCCCAGTCATGGCTGGTGCCAATGGCATTGTTTTACCCACATTAGGTGACTCACCATTTTTGGGAGCTTTTTTTGCAGCTGATTGGCCAAACATCCACACTTTTTGGGATTGTTTTTTGGAGGTTTTTTGGTGTTAGTTGAGGGGAATGGTAGCTTTTCTTTTCGGGTGACTGGATCCAAGCTTTCTGATAGTTTTGGCCCTTAGGTTAGTGCATGAATTTCTTGATGTTCCCGTGACAAATTGGAGGGTCAATTTGAGCACCCAACTGACAGCCGTGGCAAGATAGTGGGTGTCAATGATTGTTGGGCAGCATAGAGTCCTCCTTCATGTGGAAACGCGTGAGTGCAATCGCAACCATAGCATGCCACTTCTTGACTCTTCACAATTTTAGGCATCTATCGTAATCTATGATAATTTGATGAGAAGACCAAGAAGAAATCTCACATTACTGTTGAACAGTCCCTGTGTGTCAGTGAACTTACTGAGGTTGTCATACCAAATCAGTATTATTATTATTATTACTATTATTATTATTATTAAAATTAAATCTTCCAAATAAATGATATTTATCAAAGGAAGTTGGGAAGCAATACTTCCGAGTTACGAATGACTTTTACTTGATGCAATTGACTATGATGAAGGGTGGTAGATCACAGAACAATACATAATCTAACAATACATAACAAAAGAATAAGAAGCTATGACACAGGGTGGTGACGAAGGGATGTGGTTACGATGGGAAGTGGTGAGGAAGGGAAGTGGTGACGAAGGGAAGTGGTGATGAAGGGGAGTGGTGAGGAAGGGAGGTGGTGACGATGGGAAGTGGTGAGGAAGGGAAGTGGTGACGAAGGGAAGCGGTGATGAAGGGGAGTGGTGAGGAAGGGAGGTGGTGACGATGTGAAGTGGTGAGGAAGGCAAGTGGTGAGGAAGGGAAGTGGTGATGGCGGGAAGTGGCGACGAAGGGAAGTGGTGAGGAAGGGAAGTGGTGACGATGGGAAGTGGTGATGAAGGGACGTGGTGTGGAAGGGAAGTGGTGACGATGGGAAGTGGTGATGAAGGGGAGTGGTGACGATGGGAAGTGGTGATGAAGGGGAGTGGTGACGATGGGAAGTGGTGACTTTGGGAAGTGATGATGAAGGGGAGTGGTGAGGATGCATGAATGATGCATGGGCTTTGTTTTGAAAGTGGCTGCAGCCGGCGATGAAAGGTACCTCGTGTGTGCGGCGGGTGCGGCTTGGGTCGTTTGGTTCCTTCTACGTGTTTTGCAACAATGGTTGTTCCTGTGTGCGTAGTTCTATGCGTTTCTTGAAGCTGTGGTTGCAGATCGCATTGGAATGGCTGCATGAATGTTGCATGCCGTGTGTTGTGGGGAGGAAGCCGGAGCACGAAACCTTGTGTTTTTCCGTGTAAAGTGGCTGCAGCCGGCGATGAAAGGTACCTCGTGTGTGCGGCGGTTGCGGCTGCGGTCGTTTGGTTCCTTCTATTTGTTTTGCAACAATGATGGTTCCTGTCTGTGTGGTTCTATGCGTTTCTTGAAGTTGTGGTTGCAGATCGCATTCGAATGGCTGCATGAATGCTACATGCTGTGTGTTGTGGGGAGGAAGCCGGAGCATGAAACCTTGTGTTTTTCCGTGTAAAGTGGCTGCAGCCGGCGATGAAAGGTACCTCGTGTGTGCGGCGGGTGCGGCTGGGGTCGTTTGGTTCCTTCTATGTGTTTTGCAACAATGGTTGTTCCTGTGTGCGTAGTTCTATGCGTTTCTTGAAGCTGTGGTTGCAGATCGCATTGGAATGGCTGCATGAAGGTTGCATGCCGTGTGTTGTGGGGAGGAAGCCGGAGCACGAAACCTTGTGTTTTTCCGTGTAAAGTGGCTGCAGCCGGCGATGAAAGGTACCTCGTGTGTGCGGCGGGTGCGGCTGGGGTCGTTTGGTTCCTTCTATGTGTTTTGCAACATTTTGCAACAATGGTTGTTCCTGTGTGCGTAGTTCCATTCGTTTCTTGAATTTGTGCTTGCAGATCGCAATGGAATGGCTGCATGAAGGTTGCATGCCGTGTGTTGTGGGGAGGAAGCCGGAGCACGAAACCTTGCGTTTTTCCATGTAAAGTGGCTGCAGCCGGCGATGAAAGGTACCTCGTGTGTGCGGCGGGTGCGGCTGGGGTCGTTTGGTTCCTTCTATGTGTTTTGCAACAATGGTTGTTCCTGTGTGCGTAGTTCCATGCGTTTCTTGAATTTGTGCTTGCAGATCGCATTGGAATGGCTGCATGAATGTTGCTTGGTGCTGCGGCTGCTTGCGTAATACTATTGAATTGTCTTTTGCAGCTAGATCTCGTAAATCGTATTGGAGTGGCTGCATCCAGGCTGCGATAGTGATTTGTCAGCAGATTTTCGCATTTTTGGCGCTTTTAATTTTCCTTTTTAAAATCCTTTTAAAAAGTGCTTCAAACTCGTCTTTTTTCTGCTTTGGCGTCGAGATCCGGTTTTGGAGCTGCTATTGCCGACGCTGTTGCGTGTAGTTCTATTGTGTTTTGCAACTCAGTCTCTGCAGATCGCATTGTAATGGCTGCGTCAAGGTTGCTTGGTGCTGCGCAATACTATTGTCTTTTGCAGCTAGATCTCGTAAATCGTATTGGAGTGGCTGCATCCGGGCTGCGATAGTGATTTGTCAGCAGATTTTCGAAATTTTGGCGCTTTTAATTTTCTTTTTAAAAATCCTTTTAAAAAGTGATTCAAAATCGTCTTTTTTCTGCTTTGGCGTCGAGATCCGGTTTTGGAGCTGCTATTGCCGACGCTGTTGCGTGTAGTTCTATTGTGTTTTGCAACTCTGTCTCTGCAGATCGCATTGTAATGGCTGCGTCAAGGTTGCTTGGTGCTGCGCAATACTATTGTCTTTTGCAGCTAGATCTCGTAAATCGTATTGGAGTGGCTGCATCCAGGCTGCGATAGTGATTTGTCAGCAGATTTTCGAAATTTTGGCGCTTTTAATTTTCCTTTTTAAAATCCTTTAAAAAAGTGCTTCAAAATCGTCTTTTTTCTGCTTTGGCGTCGAGATCCGGTTTTGGAGCTGCTATTGCCGACGCTGTTGCGTGTAGTTCTATTGTGTTTTGCAACTCAGTCTCTGCAGATCGCATTGTAATGGCTGCATGAATGTTGCTTGGTGCTGCGCAATACTATTGTCTTTTGCAGCTAGATCTCGTAAATCGTATTGGAGTGGCTGCATCCAGGCTGCGATAGTGATTTGTCAGCAGATTTTCGAAATTTTGGCGCTAGTAATTTTCCTTTTTAAAATCCTTTTAAAAAGTGATTCAAAATTGTCTTTTTTCTGCTTTGGCGTCGAGATCCGGTTTTGGAGCTGCTATTGCCGACGCTGTTGCGTGTAGTTCTATTGTGTTTTGCAACTCTGTCTCTGCAGATCGCATTGTAATGGCTGCGTCAAGGTTGCTTGGTGCTGCGTAATACTATTGTCTTTTGCAGCTAGATCTCGTAAATCGTATTGGAGTGTCTGCAATGAAAAGAGCTCAGATGGGAAGTGTGAAGGGTGCAATGTGATGTGTGAGGAAAGTGCTTGCTTGATGTTGCATTGCACCGGGGACGCGCGCAGGTCATGTTCTTGGACAACAACATTGCAACA